CCAGATTCTCCTCCTCCTCCAGCCCCTTTTCCCCCAATCCCTCCAGCATTCCCACTTTTTTTCCTGGACCAAGATTCTCCTCCTCCTCCAGTCCTTTTTCCCCCAATCCCTCCAGAATTCCCACTTTTCCCCACCCAGCACCTCCTGTACAATTACCCACTCCTAAGCACCACGGCCCAATATTTAGTCAGAGACAAGACAAATATCACATTAGCAGCCCCAAGTCCCTCTGGAAATCCAGGATTTGGCTCCTGGAAACCTCAGGGAGAGGAGGAAGGCAGCAGCTCCAGGCAGCAGCAGCCTTTGGCAGTTTAACAAACAGCACTTGCAGCTCATTTGTCTTTACCCTCTGAAATGATGACATTTTCCCATCCCAACATCATCTTCCTGCTGCTCTTCCCACATTTTCGGGCTACTCAGGCTCTGGCTACTCCCAATTTTATGGAGCCCCCCTAGCAAACCCTGTATTTATTCATTCCACCCTCATTACCTGGATCTGCTCCTGTGTCCACTGGTCGAGGTTGACGGATTTGACCCTGGAGATGTGAACTCCCAGGTTCCTGTGGATGCCAGCACAGCGGATGCAGATGAACACCCCGAGATTCCAGGAGGCCCATCGTGGCCCTGCAAAGAGACACGAGGGGTTCACCCCAACTCCCACCCCTGTGGTGGCCTCGAGCAGCTCAGAAACTACCAAGTGAACTGGGACTGAGGTGTCTGCGTTCTCCCCCCCGTCAGAAATCGGAATTAGGCAGCAGCAGGATGTTTAAATCGTTATATTTGGAGGGTTTTCTTGCCTCCCTCTTCCATCCACGCAAAACAAGCAGCTCTTAGAGGAAGAGGGAAGAAAACACCCACAACCCCCCCGAGCTCTGCTCAGCCAGAAGTAGCAGCCATGTCAACTCAAGTTTGTGCTCCTGCTTTTTTTTCCTTCTTTCTCAGGTAACCTCCCTGCAGTGCAATCAGCTCCAGAACGTTCCCTGCTGCTGTAGGAACAGCAGCAAGAATTCCTCAGCGTGGGAATTGCACCACCAGCCTCAGGCAGGAGGGCCCAGCCCAGCCAGGAGAGCAGCACCAAGCCCAGGATTTGGCCCCCCAAAAAAAACGTGGAGCCCCAGGTTGCAATCCCAGCACTTGGTCAGTTCACTCCACAGTTTCCACAGCCCCCAGGTGGGAATTCCAAGTTCCACCCTGATCCCAGGTTGGCATGCAGCTGGGGCAGGCAGGAGAGCTCCAGGGTGTGGGGGGACACATCATGCCAGGGATAAAAAAAAAACACCACAAGGGAAAGATGATTAACAAGCTTAGATTTGCAACCCCCCTGCACCCAGGAAACCCAGCAGGGCATCACCCAGGGGTGGGCAGAGCCCACAGGTCCTCCCACCCCTCCCAGCCCCTCTCCCAGCCCTCAGTCCTGCTTTAAAACTCATTTTATTTAAAAAAAACCCTACCCCCCCTGGCTGGAGTTTGCAGCCAGCCCCAGTTGGGGTGTCCAGCCCTCACCACCTTGCACAGGGAAGGGGCCAAAGCCTGAATGAGGGACCTGAAAGCCTCCAACCAACTGTGCCAGCCCCTTTTTCCAGGCATTGCTGCAGAGGAAGAGTTATCCTGCTAAAATAGCAAAGCCTAAAGCTAATGAGAGTGAGGTGGGAGGGGGGAAAGTGTAATTTCAAAGCCCTAAAAAAGCAGTGCTGTGTTTGAGGCTCTGGATATGCTGGGAACAGTTTCATTCCTATTTATGGGGAAAGTCTGGAGCATCCTGAGGGCTTTGGGGCTGTTAATGCAAACCCTTTCCAGGATAACCTCTAACTTACCTCCAGTACCTGTTCCAGGGAACTCATGATTTAAAAAAAAAAGCTTTTATTAAGTCTTCTGGCCTTTCCTGCCATCACTGGCTGCTTTTTCCCTCAAGAGTGGCCCTTGAGAACGATATTAATTTAACAGAGCTGATGAATTCAGTTCCCAGTTTAGGAACAGCTCTTGGTGAAGACCTGATTAAAAGCACACCCTTGTTCATTTATTATACCCACCAGAACCTGGGATTGACTCCATCACAGCAGAATCCATAAATTTAGCATGTTAAACAGTAAGGACCTGGAAGAAAAGCCTCGCTCAGGGTCAGCCAGGATCCCTCCCTGGGCTCCCACAGGGAATTCTCTCCCAGCCACACCATAACGTGAGACTGCAGGCAGGATTAAGCCTGAGAGTCAAGGTTAGATTTAAACTCTGGATATATTTAGCCTTTATAGGACTAAAAGGATTAATAGGCAGATACTCCAGCGGGGCTGGAGTAATCAGCTCACTGTTGTCACATGGAGCCACCACAACCTGCCACCACCAACATGACTCAGGGGTGCAAAGTGTCACTTCAGTGGCACTTCAGGGGCTGGGACAGCAAGGACTGAGTGCAGGACTGACAGCTGCACTGCTAAATCCCAGCTCTGGGTGACCCCAGGATGGAGAAGCCTCGTTATGCCAGGGAATATTTAAAAAAAAAATTAATACACAGGCTTTCAAAAATCCTCCCAGCAGGTGGTTGGGCTGTATAAATACATTATTGGGTTGTATAAATACATTATACAACAGGGGGGAGCTCCGAGCTGCTGATATTCTGGGTGTCCTTGCTGAGCCAGGAGGTGCTACAAGAAAGGCTTCAAATCTGTGGATCTGCCACTAAAATATCCCCCCAGCTCAGACTGGGCTGGGCAGGGCTCTGGGGAAATTTCCCCAGGGTTCCACATCTGTTTTCAAGGTGACAGACCTGAAAAAAAAATCCCCAGGTGGTTTTTGCAGATGGGAGTTCCATCACATGCTGCAGCATTTGACTCCCCCAAAAATGAAACTGTGCAGAAAATCCAGTGACTGAGGGGGGGGGGAAACACCCTGGTTGGAGCAGAGGGGAAAGTTTTTCAGAGAAAAATGGGGTTTTATCAGTAAATAAGGACAGAGCAGCATTAATCAGCGTTGCTGGAGGTGCCCTGGGGCACTATCACCCCTTGCAGCCTTTGGGCACACCCTGACACTCACAGGGAATCATGGATTTATCTCCAGGAGGTTTGAAAACAGTTAAACCACTAGAAAGAACCATTAAAGAAGTTGTTCCTCCCGTGAATTAACTCTGGTTAATGTTATAAAAACAGTCCCCTCGAGGCTGAGCATCCTTGGAGCCACCAGAGCTGGAGGGTGAGATGGAACCTCCCTTCCCACATGGAAAACTGGGAGTTTGCCCCAGTGACAACCAGGATCAGCCACTCCTGGTGCTGTGTTTCAGCATTAGGGCTGATTTTAACACCCAGGGAAAAGGAAGGCTCTGGCACCAACCCAGCTGGGCAAAGCCTGTCCTGCTGTGCTGCCCCCGTGCCTCAGCTCACACCTGCACAAATCCCTCCTGGATCCAACAACCCCACACTTGTGAGCAAGAATCCAGGGAGATTCCAGAGCCCAGCTATCCCTCAGCCCTGGCACCACACTTAGGTCAGACCAGACCACCCTGGGGGACGTTCCCAGCCTGGCACTGGCTGCAGGAAGATCAGGAGCTCCAAAAGCATCCCCTGCTCAGCCAGCCCTGACTTTACAAAGCTGCACTGAACACTTGAATGGATTCCTGGGGGAGGATGCACCAGCCAGAGGCTCAGCTGCCCAGCCAGTGCTCCAGGAGACACTTCCACAGCCTGTTTTACATCCCAGCCTGTCAAAATAAACACCACATACCAAGCTGGTCACACACCAGCTCCCAGCTAAGCCACAAGTCATCAATGCTGCAAGGGCTGCTGAGTGCTCTGAATTACTGAAAAGGCTCCCAATCCCCTCCAAAACCCCAGCACAGCCTGAGGAGTCCACTTCAAGTGAGTCACTCGCTCTGAGTTCACCCCCCTGAGTGGTTTTAAATGAGAAATCCCGAGGGGATTCACTCCTCACCCTTTATTCAGGCCCCAGATTTTGGCTGAAGCTCCCCCTGCAACTTTCTGCAGCAATAACCCTCCAGAAGGCATTTAAAAATAAAACAGGAGTTGGCTGCAAAAGCCACTGCTCTTTTGAGAAGGAGGGTCAGGAAAAAAAATAGCTGCTTTCATGGGCAGGGAGGAGAGAACATCACTGCTCAGAGCCTGATGAAATATTCCCAGTGCAGACAACCCCTGCCTGGGAGCATCCAGGGAAACATTCCCATGGATCCCACTGACATGGTGGGGATACAGCACCATCCAGCCATCCCTGGAGCAGCCCCAGGGAGAGGAGGGAGCGGGATAATCCCTGGGAGGTGACTGTTCCAGCCTCCCTCACGCTGGGCCGGGGAGGTTCCTGGTCCAGCCCGAGCTGGGAAGTCCCATTTTTTCCAAAGGCAAATGAGGAACCACCCAAGGATCCAGGAGCTTCCTTTGCCCCGTGGTTTCCTTGCTCCAGAAGGTTGCTTAAGGACTTGGTGACGCTGTGACAAAGCCTGTCTTGCAAAACAACTTCCTCTGCCCTTTGCTGGAAGGTCTGTGGTGCAGCTCAGTGCTCCAGAGCCTAGGGAACAAGGGAAACCCTAAAAAAAACCCAGTTAAACTTGATTTCAAGAGCTCGAAATTCTGCTGTGGCACAGGATATTCTGGGGTGGAAGGGACCCCCGAGGCTCATCAAGGCCCAGCTGTGCCAGGGATGGCTCATGCAGGGATCAAACCCTTGGTGTTCACCAGCACCAGCCTCTGACCAGGTGGGTTCAGTCATTAACACGGATTAATTGCAAATATACATAGGAAAAAATACATAGGAAAAAATACATAGGAAAAAAATATATGTAGGAAAAAAATATATGTAGGAAAAAATATATATAGGAGAAAAAATATATATAGGAGAAAAAATATATATAGCAAAAAATATATATAGGAAAAAAATATATAGGAAAAAAATATATATAGAAAAAAATATATATAGGAAAAATATATATATAGGAAAAATATATATAGGAAAAAATATATATAGGAAAAAATATATATATTAACCACCATTTGCAGGAAGAGCCAGAAGCAACTACAAGGTTGAGAATATTCCCTCCAACAGCTTCCAGCTCTGCCTTAAAAATCTTCTTGGTCTATTGGCAACCAGGACACTCTTCCCCAAAGCCATGGGGCGCCTCACTGGCCAAGTCCCACCAAGCTGCTTCTGGCTGTTTCCTCTCAGAACAGGCTTGAAATCTTCCACAAACACCCAATATTTGAGGGCTTTGGAGGCAGCATTTCAGTGCAGGGCTTATCTCTGGTACCATCCCTGAGCTGTGGTGAGAGCAGCACAGAGGAGGGAGGTGGAGGAGAGGAAAAAAGGTGCTGTGAACAGCAGGGTGGGGCCTTCCTGCTGCTGCAGAAAGTGAGGTTTGCACTTGAGCCAATCAACCGTGAAAGGGAACAATTTTGAGCAGTGACACGACAGCAATCCAGGCAAGGGGACTGGGTGACATCACCAATATTGATGATGACACAGCCTGAAAATATATATACGTTTATAAATCAAGCCATGTCCTTCCTGTACCATTTTTAACCAAAACCACACACCAGCCAATCCTGGAAGCTGCAGGTTTCAAGGGGGCCTGAATTCCCATGAATTACAAAAAAAAATTCAGGTCGTGGGTAAACACCAGCCCTGTGTCCAAAAGCACCTGTGAACAGCAGCAGGATGGGAGCTCTCCCATCACTGCACTGAGTTGAATTTTGCTGCCATTCAATCCCTTCCAAGATGTTTTTTCAATTCATCACTTCACTCTAAAAATATTTAGACCCTGTT